GGTGCTCCCCGCGCCCCGGGGGGAGCCGGCAGCTTTGCACGGCGCAATCGAGAACGCTGCTGCCGGACGAGGACTGCCCGCGCACCGTTTCTGTGCGATGTTCACACACCTCGGGGTAAATACTTCCTCAGCAAAGGCTCTAGAATGGAAATAAGAATAAATAAGTAAGGACGGCCAAGCCGTCCGCACCTGGACGGGGCGATTCCTCCTCCCGGCGCGGTGGTTCTGCGTCGGCCGCGGGACCCAGGGAGACGAAGGAGCCGCCATCGCCCAATCACCGGCCAAAATACGGACCTGGGTCGGAGGCCCCAGGTGTTAAATAAGCACCCGACACACGGGAGAAGCCAAGGGGAGCAAAATCCTCGAGGCAAACCCATTGTGAGTGCAGACGTGAAAGCAGGGCGCAGAGGTCGCCATCCCCCGCAGTGCCCACGCGAGCCCTGCCCCAGCCCAGCAACTCAGCCGGGAGAGCAGCGGATAGTCCTCCCAAATGCCTGCTTCCGAGCAGATGGCACAGAAACTCCTTTTGTGTCCCACAGGCCAATTACTTTGGAGATTTAGAAAACACACTTACAAATAGCAAAAATCTGCTGCTATTTTGATTTTTATTTGACATCAGATCTCTTCAAATTCACTATGATGTTATTATTACAGTGATGTTCAGAGAGCACCATCATTTCTACATGAAATGTCTTGAGGAAAACAACCCCTTTTTTGCTAGCACAGCTAGACAAAGTAACGCATTACAACAGGACAGACCCTTGCTAACCCGCCTTGCTGCAAGGACGCAGGGACCGGAGGAGCCGTGCAGTGCTGGAGGAACGAGCTCGCACAAGGCTGCTCTGTTGGGTCAAACCGGGGGGCTGCTGCCGCCAGCGCGAGCGCTGCCCTCCCCGTCCCCTCCTGCAGGGCTGGCGGCGCACGGCCGCACAGCGCCCGAGTTCGCTCGCTTCCACACCTCTTTCCAGTGTAGTCCGACTCCTCTGGGGGTCCGTCTCCAGCCAGCATCCTGCCTGGTACTCTGGAGTCAAAGATGTTTCGACGTGACAAGGCAGCAACAAAAATAAGAACTAATGACAGGAACTTTCAGGGAATCTTGGAAGAGAGAGGTGAAGACCTCCAAATGCATCCCTCATCCCCATGAACAGAGTCTGGTCAGCATTTCTACATGTTTAATAACACAAGGGCTTAGAAATGTCCTCTGGGACAAGCTACAGGTGGACGAAACACAGGTTTCAGTCGCTCTGTGCTGCTTGCAAGATAGCAGAAGCATTCAGACAGGTTGCCCCCAGCACACTCGAAGCAGTGCAAACCAGCACCTCACACTGCACACAACTGCTGCTGTACCAGCATCAGGCCCTGTCACACGAGGCAACCGCGGCCCATCAAAATCTGTCACCGTATCAAAAAGGCCAAAAATACCTCAGGCACAGAAAGGAGAAAGGGAAAACAGCCATAGGTGAAGAGCTGGATGACCCTGATGATGTGGCATCATTGCTTGTGGTGGGGTAATTCCTTAGAACTAGAAGGTTAAGTAAGAAAAGGGTTCAAACAAGGGGGGAGGGGGGGGGAACCATACACGGAGTGGAGAGAGGTTCTGCTCCAAGGCTTGGGAAGTGACATTTCCAGCCTGTGACATATATACATACAGCCTGAAGACACAGTTAAGTGGCTCTGCGGGCCTCTGTTCCCATAGCACATGTCACGGTAGGGACGAGGGTGCTGGGTCTTCTGCACGGGAGGGGAGCTCTCCAGAAGATCTTTGCTGTGCAAAGCAACAAAAAGTTGCACCTTGGAGGGATATTCATCTTCCATGTGGAGATGTGGAGAGACTTTACTCCCTCGCTTCCAAAGCCCTGTAAAACAGAGCATGCTGCATTCCCTTCCCCGATGCCTGGCTGATCAAAGTGATTACAGGCCTCCTCCATTTCTCATGGAAGAGCTCTCCCATCTAACTATCACCCTTGCCAGAGCCTGATAAAAACGCCATATCTTAAGTGATATATCTAACTGGAAAGCCTATGTTGCATACATAACAGTAACAGCAAAATCCTGGCTGGTGGACTGGGCATGAGATCTGCCAGGTGCTTGCGGCTGAGCTATGACTGATGGTCATAATAAGGTGGTGTGCTTGGAGTACCTTTAAGAAATGAGTCTATTTAGTTTGATTTGTTTCTATTAAATGTGCTCTGCTGACAGTCCCAGGGATTTTGCCAGTGCAGAGTAGCTGCCTGAGCCACACTGCTGCACTTTTGCTACCAGGTATCTGAAACACTCACCTAGTGGTGAAATGGACTTTAAATCACCCTCTATCCCAAAAACATTAGAAAGAAGGGGAAAGACTTCGCCAGCAATTTTTCCATTTCCAGCTTAATCTGCTTGACAGGACTTTTTACAAACTATTTGAGCTGTGATGCTCCATGATCCTGCCTGGTTCTTTAGCTTTACAAATCTATTAAAGAGCATTTAAGCCAAGCGTCTAAGCCTCCAAAATTGACACGAGCTCCTTAGAGCTGCCACCTGGAGCGTCAGATACTCCATTGCTAAGAAGGGCAGATCAGACAATATTTACAGTGACACAGCTACCATCCAGGGAACAGATATTTCTTAAAGTTCTTCCTCACTTTCTTTAGGATTACATAACTCCCAGGAACATCACGTGCTCCCTTGTAATAGCAGCATCAGCACAAGAAATGTTAAAAATAACTTACAAGTTAATAAATTTTTAAAGTTTTTTCAAGGTGCATGATCTCAACTCCTAGCAAACTCATTCCTGTCTATTATGGAGCATAAGGACCTAAGCAGCAGAGTGATTTTTCCCATATTGCTCCTTCCCTCTGCGAGTTTGGGCATCAGTCCCTCAAGGCCCCAGGAACCACCACAAAAGGACGGGAAAGTCCCTTGCACCCAGGCGCGCTTGCTGAAAAAATGCCTCCTGTGGCTCCCGCAGTCTCCTGGGCTCTCTGACAGGCAAATCCCCATCCCTCCCTGTGGGAGTGTCCGGCTGGCAGCTTCGGAGGCACTGGTTGCCTCGCACATACTGCTGTGCAGCAGGCTCAGCTGGGTCAGACCACCCTGTGATCCCCAACACATGCATTTGGGGAAGCATCAAGCCGGTCCAGATACGGAACTCTACATCCTCGGCAAAGAAATGAACTGCAGAATACGACCAAAAGTCCTTAAATAAACCATGGAAGAACAGGCTTTATGGCTCCCCACCGCTCGGTCCCAGCTGGCCAGCAGAAAGCTGGCACGCCGAGCTGAGCGCTGTTACAATGGAGAGACAAGGAACCTTTCCTTTCCCTGGGGCTGCAGAGTCCCAAACACTCTCCAAGGTCTCCCAGAGAGCCTGGCAGCATCCCAGCGACGCCGGGTCAGCGTGCCTGCACAGCGCAGCTCCGGGAGGCCCACTTCAAGGCTTCCCGGACAAAAATGCCTCCCAGCAGAATTCTCTTTTGCAGAAAATAATGGTAAGACTGAGTAATTCTTTATTGCCCTCCTCTGTGCCAGACAAAAGGCTACCCCATAGCTCT